ACGTCTTAAGTGCCACTGTTTCTGACGTATCTATACACATGAATTCTAGCGGCTTCAAACCAAGCTGGAAAGGCCTGGTAGGCCTATGAGAGAGAATGGGTCTGAGTGGTGGGTGTGCACCCTGTGAAAAAAATCTGGGACTCAGTGATGCATTGTGGGAACGCCATCTTCGTAGTCCATTTTCACTATGCCTCGCAGTAGGAAGTACGTACCTCACTCCTCGGCAGATTGGAGGTCTTTTGTTCCGAAGTGACAGCTCTAACAGCGATGGAAGTGTCAGAGACAGTGAATTCCATGGTTTTCAAGTGAGTGTGACCGAAAAAAGTGCCCAGGATGACGTAATTAGTGATAAAAACCCAGATGACCTACGACCTTCCACCTCTGGTGCTGGGCCGGCTTGTTCATGTTCAGGTTAACCTGTACCAGGACGAAAGAGGAAACTATTTGGCTGTGTACAAGACCCAGATGTTAGCAGTGAATGTGATAGTGATTTCAAGGTTATTGAAAGCAGTTCTAGTTGTGACAGTGAGGGTGAATATTCCCCAGTGAAGCAGCAGTATGTACGACGTAGCATGCGGTCTGGTAGTGTTTCATATGCTGTTCCAAGGGGAAGGAGTAACTCTGGGAGCACATCCCGTGGCCCTACACCACGACCTGATAGTGAAGATGACGATGTTGTTATGATGGGTATGAATGATGTGAGTGAGGCAGCAGGCAGTGGTGGTGATAGTGATGGTGGCACGACCCATGTGGCACCAGCAGCGGGCCACGCTACTACCCACGCTGCTGACTCTGCACAACAACAACCAGCCTCACCCAACCCCACACTCCCACAACCTACACAACCACAACCTGCACAACCACAACCTGCACAACCACATTACAATATCCAGAACCCACCAGCAGACCGCATCTGGGATTGGCAGGAAGGTGACGAGTTTGTTCCCAGTCCCCATGACTTTGATGAAACACAAAGTGGAATAAAGCCATCATGTCCACTTGGGAACAATGCTAGTGAACTGGAATGCTTTGAGTTATTCTTCGATGAACCTCTGATGGATATCATTGTCAGGGAAACCAACACATACTATGAGTACACCATGGCAAATACAATTCTCTCACCAAGATCACAGCTACACCAGTGGAAGGACACAACTGTGACAGAGATGTACCTGTTTTTTGCCACAATAATGCTTATGCCATATGTGTATAAGCACACTGTCACCACATACTGGGCAACAGAACACCTGATTTCAACTCCAGGTTTTAGTGACATTATAGGCATCAATCGTTTCTTGATACTGTTACGTGTGCTACACTTTTCAGACAAAACCAGGCCTGACAGAACCGACAGGTTATACAAGATCAGAAATGTGTTATGTACATGAAACAAAAGTGCTGCATGTATTTTTATCCCTTCAGGAAGCTTGTTATTGACGAGTCTGATTTTATTCAAAGGAAGACTCTCATTCAAGCAATATGTACCAAGCAAGAGGAAACGCTTTGGTATAAAGTTATTTGTACTGTGTGATTGTAGAAGTGGTCTAGTTTTGGATATCATTGTGTACACTGGCAGTAATACTTTGAGAGATACCATGAAGTTATTAGGTATCTCTGGTGATGTGGTTAGAACAATGATGGAACCATATCTTGGTAAGGGGCATACGTTATTTACTGATAACTGGTACACAAGCCCCTTACTCGGTGATTTCTTGCGAGTGAGCTTGACAGACGTGTGGGGCACAGTGCGTGGTAATCATAAACATATGCCAAGGTTCGACACTGGCACTCGCAGAGGTGAGGTGCAAGCCTTTACTGCCAATGACATCATGGCATTTCGGTGGCATGACAAACGTGATGTCACATTGTTGACATCAGTTCACCGAAACGAAATGGCACACACTGACAGGCGCAACAGAGACCAATGAACCCATTCTAAAGCCTGCAGCTGTCATGGACTACAACCTCAATATGTGCTTAGTGGACAAATGTGACATGCAGATTGGGTTTGCTGATTGTGTATGCAAGAGTTATAAGTGGTATATAAAACTTTTTTTCCCATCTTGTTGATATCTCCATGCTAAATGTCTATAACATATACAAGTTGAGGACCAACGAAACACCAAAATATGGTGAATTTTGTTTCAGTCATCAGACAAATAATCGCCAAGTACCAGGGAGCAACACCTGCAATAGACCAGTGCCCACGAAACTACCAACACACGCCATCTCGTTTCAGGCCTGGTGATCACTACTCCATACTACTGTCTCCTACTGCATCCACGAAAACTGCTCAGAAGAGGTGTTTTGTATGTGTACATACCACAAAACGCCCACAAACACGCAGAGACACTCGTTTTATGTGTGAGGAGTGTCAAGTGCCACTCTGCATATACCCATGTATATGCAGAGTGGCACATAGAGCTGCAGCAGCTCTAGGAAAGTGTTCAGTGACTGTACATATGTATATATATTATGGAACAATAGTAATAAACAATGTTTTGTATTGTTTGTTTGTGTAAACAAATTTTATACACAAACTAATAGTGATAAAGTTTGTTCAGTTATTGTGCTGTAAACAGTGAGTGTATATTTGAACAATGCACCTTACAGTGGTCTCACAGGCCACATAAGTTGCTTGGAAAAGAAAAATATTGGAAAATACAAGAAATTTTCGAATTAGAGCAAATGTTTATAGAGGGGCAACTGATATATCGGATCATTATTTAGTTGTAGCTACAGTTAGAGTAAGAGGTAGATAGGAAAAGAGGAAGGTGGCAACAACAAGTAAGAGGGAGGTGAAAGTGTATAAACTAAGGGAGGAGGAAGTTCGGGTGAGATATAAGCGACTATTGGCAGAAAGGTGGGCTAGTGCAAAGATGAGTAGTGGGGGGGTTGAAGAGGGTTGGAATAGTTTTAAAAATGCAGTATTAGAATGTGGGGCAGAAGTTTGTGGTTATAGGAGGGTGGGGGCAGGAGGAAAGAGGAGTGATTGGTGGAATGATGAAGTAAAGGGTGTGATAAAAGAGAAAAGGTAGCTTATGAGAGGTTTTTACAAAGCAGAAGTGTTATAAGAAGAGCAGAGTATATGGAGAGTAAAAGAAAGGTAAAGAGAGTGGTGAGAGAGTGCAAAAGGAGAGCAGATGATAGAGTGGGAGAGGCACTGTCAAGAAATTTTAATGAAAATAAGAAAAAATTTTTGGAGTTAAACAAGTTAAGAAAGCCTAGGGAAAATATGGATTTGTCAGTTAAAAACAGAGTAGGGGAGTTTGAGATGGGGAGATGGAGGTATTGGGTAGATGGCGAGAATATTTTGAGGAACTTTTAAATGTTAAGGAAGAAAGAGAGGCAGTAATTTCATGCACTGGTCAGGGAGGTATACCATCTTTTAGGAGTGAAGAAGAGCAGAATGTAAGTGTGGGGGAGGTACGTGAGGCATTACGTAAAATGAAAGGGGGTAAAGCAGCTGGAACTGATGGGATCATGACAGAAATGTTAAAAGCAGGGGGGGATATAGTGTTGGAGTGGTTGGTACTTTTGTTTAATAAATTATGAAAGAGGGGAAGGTACCTAGGGATTGGCAGAGAGCATGTATAGTCCCTTTATATAAAGGGAAAGGGGACAAAAGAGACTGTAAAAATTATAGAGGAAATAAGCTTACTGAGTATACCAGGAAAAGTGTACGGTAGGGTTATAATTGAAAGAATTAGAGGTAAGACAGAATGTAGGATTGCGGATGAGCAAGGAGGTTTTAGAGTGGGTAGGGGATGTGTAGATCAGGTGATTACATTGAAGCATATATGTGAACAGTATTTAGATAAAGATAGGGAAGTTTTTATTGCATTTATGGATTTAGAAAAGGCATATGATAGAGTGGATAGAGGAGCAATGTGGCAGATGTTGCAAGTATATGGAATAGGTGGTAAGTTTATTAAATGCTGTAAAGAGTTTTTATGAGGATAGTGAGGCTCAGGTTAGGGTGCGTAGAAGAGAGGGAGACTACTTCCCGGTAAAAGTAGGTCTTAGACAGGGATGTGTAATGTCACCATGGTTGTTTAATATATTATAGATGGGGTTGTAAAGGAAGTAAATGCTAGGGTGTTTTGGGAGAGGGGTGGATTAAATTATGGGGAATCAAATTCAAAATGGGAATTGACACAGTTACTTTTTGCTGATGATACTGTGCTTATGGGAGATTCTACAGAAAAATTGCAAAGGTTAGTGGATGAGTTTGGGAATGTGTGTAAAGGTAGAAAAGTTGAAAGTGAACATAGAAAAGAGTAAGGTGATGAGGGTGTCAAATGATTTGGATAAAGAAAAATTGGATATCAAATTGGGGAGGAGGAGTATGAAGAAGTGAATGTTTTCAGATACTTGGGAGTTGACGTGTCGGCGGATGGATTTATGAAGGATGAGGTTAATCATAGAATTGATGAGGGAAAAAAGGCGAGTGGTGCGTTGAGGTATATGTGGAGTCAAAAAACGTTATCTATGGAGGCAAAGAAGGGTATGTATGAAAGTATAGTAGTACCAACACTCTTATATGGGTGTGAAGCTTGGGTGGTAAATGCAGCAGCGAGGAGACGGTTGGAGGCAGTGGAGATGTCCTGTTTAAGGGCAAGTGTGGTGTAAATATTATGCAGAAAATTCGGAGTGTGGAAATTAGGAGAAGGTGTGGAGTTAATAAAAGTATTAGTCAGAGGGCAGAGGAGGGGTTGTTGAGGTGGTTTGGTCATTTAGAGAGAATGGATCAAAGTAGAATGACATGGAAAGCATATAAATCTATAGGGGAAGGAAGGCGGGGTAGGGGTCGTCCTCGAAAGGGTTGGAGAGAGGGGGTAAAGGAGGTTTTGTGGGTAAGGGGCTTGGACTTCCAGCAAGCGTGCGCGAGCGTGTTAGATAGGAGTGAATGGAGACGAATGGTACTTGGGACCTGACGATCTGTTGGAGTGTGAGCAGGGTAATATTTAGTGAAGGGATTCAGGAAACCGGTTTTTTCATATAGTCGGACTTGAGTCCTGGAAATGGGAAGTACAATGCCTGCACTTTAAAGGAGGGGTTTGGGATATTGGCAGTTTGGAGGGATATGTTGTGTATCTTTATATGTGTATGCTTCTAGACTGTTGTATTTCTGAGCACCTCTGCAAAAACAGTGATAATGTGCGAGTGTGGTGAAAGTGTTGAATGATGATGAAAGTATTTTCTTTTTGGGGATTTTCTTTCTTTTATTGGGTCACCCTGCCTCGGTGGGAGACGGCCGACTTGTTGAAAAAAAAAAAAAAAAAAAAAAAGAATACCAGGTGGGCAGCAGTCGCCGCTGTTGCCGTACGCACCTCACTCTCTGCCAACTTTGTGCCTCTATATCTCGGTAAGTACTGATGGTAAAAAATTTTTTTTAGGCTTAAAACACTCAGTAAAATAATCCTAATATTTTCATAAGAAAAAAAAATATTTTTTTTCGAATATTTTGCGACATAGAATGACAGTTTCAGAAAGGGGCCTGCAACAGTCAAAGGGTTAAAGAGTATATTTTTGTGAAGGTAATAAAAAAAAAAAATTCTGACCAGTACTTACCGAGATACAGTGCCGAGAAGTTGACACAAAATAACCGGGTGGCGGCAACATCGACGATTTCCACATACACGCATTACTTTATGTTTTTTTGTAGTTTTTTCTTTTCTTTTCTAATTTTTTTCTCTTCCTACTAACATTTGAGGCCTGACAGACCAATACTGTATATAATGTATATATATAAACTCACTGTATTGAACACAATAATTGCACTAAAGTTATTATCATATTATTGTTTACCAGTTTTGTTTATTACAATAAACATGCACAAATCTTGTATAATACTAATGTTCTATCATATATTTACATATTTACAATCACTGGACATGTTTTTAGAACTGCTGGAGCTTGTGGAACTCCTTGAAACAAGGCACCATGCACAGAGGTACCTTACATTCCTCGTACATAAACTGAGTGTCTTTGCGTCTTTGTTACCGTCGCTTTGTTTGTGCACAGACAATGCATCTCTTCTGAGCAAATTTCTTCTTAGTTGCAGGAAGCTGTATTATGAAATGATCACCTTCCCTCCTCAAACGCTTGGGTATATTCTGAGAAGTTCGAGGACCTTGTTGTATAGCAGGTGTTGTTACCTGGTACTTCATTATGAGTTGTCTGACAACAGACAAACAAAATTCACCATATGGTGGTCTGTTGCCAGTCTTCATCTGGTACATATTATATGCATTGAGCATTGAAATGTCCATGAGATGGAAGAAAAGTTTCATGTACCACTTGTAACTCTTACGAACATAATCAACAAAGCCAATCTGCATATCCCATTTGTCAACTAAGCGCATGTTTTGTGTATAATCAATCACTGTCGCTGGTTTTCGAATATGTTTAATAGTTATTCTATCAACTTTGCCACTGTCTTGCATTTCGTTATAGTGAATGGTTGTCAACAATGTGACATCTCGTTTGTCATGCCACCATAATGCCATGATGTCATTGGAAGTAAACACCTGCACCTCATCACCACGAGCACCTGCGTTGAACCTGGGCATATATTTACAATTAGAACGCACTGTGCCACACACATCTGTCTTGTTCACTCGCAAGAAATTACTGAGCAAAGGGCTTGTGTACCAGTTATCGGTATATAATGTATGCCCCTTACCAAGATAAGGTGCCATCATGCTTCTCACTACGTCACCTGAGATACCCAATAACATCCTGGTATCTTTCAATGTTTTACATCCTGTGTATACAACAATATCCAACACCAGGCCACTGTCACAATCACAGAGTACAAACAGTATTATACCAAAGCGTTTCCTCTTGCTCGGTATATACTGCTTGAACGACAGTCTACCTTTGAACAAAATCAAAGACTTGTCAATTACAAGATTCTTGAATGGATAAAAGTACATGCTGAACTTTTGTTTGAGATACATAAAAACATTTCTAATCTTGTATAACCTGTCACTTCTGTCAGGCCTGGTTTTGTCAGAGAAGTGCAACATACGTAACAGTAAGATAAACCTGTTCACTGGGATGACTTCACTGAAGACAGGGGTAGAAATTAGCCGATCTGTGGACCAGTATGCTTTTATATTATGCTTATAGACATGAGGCACAAGCATTATTGTTGCAAAAAGCAAATACATTTCTGCAACAGTCGTCTCTTTCCACCAGTGTAGTCTTGACTGTGGTGATATGATCGTATTTGCCATGGTGTACTTAAAATACTTGTTACTTTCCCTGATAATAGTTTCCATCAAGGGCTGGTCAAAGAATAGTTCAAAGAATTCCAGTTGATTGGCCGTGCTTCCAAGGGGACAAGTAGGTAAAATTCCACTTTGAGAGTGGTGGGGCTTGGGAACAAAATTGGGATTTTGCTGCCAATCCCAGATACGGTTTGCTGGTGGATACTGGACATCATAGGCTGGTTGTGTGGGTAGTCGTGGTTGTGGTGGGCTGGTGGCTGATGCTCCACTTTGTCCTTGAACTGAGGAGTCAGCAGTGTGGGTCCCAGCCTGGGCTGGCGAGTCATGCATGGCCGTGGCACTACCATCACCACTACCACCACCTACCACTGCCTGTGGTCTATCCATGCCAAGTGTAGCCACATCGTCCTCACTTTCACTGTCTATTCCTGGTGTAGGGCCACGGGATGTACTCCGGTATGTACTCCGTCCCCTGGGCACTGCATAGGGAACACTACCCGAGCGCATGCGGAGGTGTATATACCGACGCTTCACTGGTGAATGTTTCCTCACTATCACTACTCGAATGATGATCGTCAAGAGCAATAAAATCACAATCCACGTCACTATCATCATCATTACTGAAGTCAGAGGCCTGGCCACGCGAAAGTAATAGTTTTCTCTTGCGATGAGGTACAACTGACCGTGACTGAGGAGTGCCCACACCAGAGGTAGAAGGTTGAGGATCGTCAAGGTTTTCTGCACTATTATCGATATCCTGGTCATTTTTTCAGTCACTAACTGATCAAAGCCTAAGAATTCGTCTTCATTTCCACTTCCATCAGAGTCAGAACTATCAGATAGGAAGAGGAGAGTCCCAATTTTCCTTGGAGTGAGAGCTGCCTTGTGACGAGGCATGGTGAACAAAGGTAACTGAGCCGGCATTCCCACAATGCTATGCGGGTGCCTAGAATTTTTGTTTATGGCGCGACACACACCACGCAGATCCGTTCTCTCACATGCAGGCCTACCGCCTTTTTGCACTAAATTTGACGCCGCTAGAATTTTGGCATAGATCTATTGGTTGGACCCTGAACGTGAAGCAGTAGATCTATGGGACGGACCCTGAAAGGGTAAATGCTGAGGTAACACATACTCTTCACAATCTATTCATCAGCATGAATATAAAGAAAATTATTGGGCATAGTGTTTATACAACTATCACACACAATACGTACTGGGATACAAACCCTTGCCAGAAAACGTGTTCAACAACTACTGAGGGAAAATTTTTTTACCTTATGCAACTTGCAAATTATTATTCTTGACTTATCTGAACAAACTCCTCAATTATCTGTACACCATACTCAGTAGTAGGGTGCAGGCCAAGCTTTACTGCTTAGCTACAAGGCTTTTGACAGAAAGAATTCAGAAACAATTTCCGTTCATGCTTTCCGTCAGCAGCATAGCCTGTGACCTACTGTCTTCCCACAGCCCCAGAAGCTTTAGCAGGTACCTATAACAAATTTATTTGTACAGGCATTCTACATCATCTCCAGTAAGTGGTATAATAATAGCTTTTACATTTCATGCTTGTTATTGAGTTTCCAGTGATTACTATCTGATGGATATTATAGGGTTTGGAAAATGCTCTGTATTGCACAATGTCAAACTATCCAGGTTCAAGATGTCAGAACTGTCAAAATACACTTAAAAAGCCATTATACATCTTAGCCAGATAGGGTTTTGGCTGTTAGATGATGTACTACATACAATTCTCTCAAACCTTTAGAAGAGGCCAAGAATGAGGTAGTAAGAAAGGTGTGGCAAAGTTAACCAGATGCTCAGGTTCTGCAGAGGTCACAAAAAGACAGAATGAATTCTTATTTTTCTGTAAGGCATGCTACAGTATCTATGCAGAGGTCAAAGGAAGAACAGCATACAGAGTTTATACCAAAGTTTTACATGAAAATGGATAAGAGTGTGCAAAAGTGTGCTGCCTAAAATTATGGCAAGAGGTATTGGCCCAGTTACTGCCGATGGCATGGAAAATTCCTCATTGAAGAATATCTATACTGTTTTTAATTTGTCACCTGAAAGTACTTAAATCTGGTGAAAAATCTTCAGCACATAAGAAAATTCTCCACACACAATAACACCCATATACTGTAACTTGTAGTCAATGAGGTAATTGAGAACAGCATCACCTTAAATAAACCTGAGTTAGACTTTACCTTCCAAGGTAAAGTAAACTTTTCAGCGTTGACTTACCACTATCTGTACACTCTTATAACGACTATTCTTGCAACGTGTTTCCTTAGAGTATAAGCCCGGATTCTCATTATACAAGTAATCAAATATTACATCCACTTTACTATAAATAAAACCTGGGTTACAAATGATGAAACTTACATTACACTACTTCTTTCTTTCTTAATAAGTTACATGTTTGTGCTTCTTACATCAAATATTTAACATTTTTTATACATGTATAAATATATATTACTGTATAATATTTCTTGTGTATGAATGTTTGTGCACATGCATGTGTTCATTATGTAGCACATGCATCTATGAATGTGCATGTATAAGTATTAAACCAGCTATACATCAATGCCTCTCCTCTCCATAGCTACCAAGTTTGTAAAATGGAGAAAGATGTCACTCCATATAATACTCCTGTAAAAAGATCACTCACATTATATATACAGTACATGTAATCCTCTTTATTAATAATGTAGCATACATCTCTCTAACACACACACACATCAGGTATCGACAAGAAATGTGTATGAAAAGTTTTTCATTCATGTTTTAACCTATCATGTTCGCTATAAAATAACTTTTAATATTACTTATTACATGTAATAAATTCACTTTACTTTCAAATCTTAAGAAATATATTGCGCTTCCAGACCATATACAAAATTTTATATTAGTACGCTAGTTGCTGTCCACTCTTAATGAGACATATTCCTAGGCATGGCTTTCATTACAACAGTTTCTTAACTTTACGATTAAGGTGCGACACTGTTTTATCCAGCTGAGAAAGTGTGTCAATTCCAGTCTGATACACAGCATCAGAGTCTTCAGAGGCATATACGTAAAGGCAATTGTCACGGTGATCTAGCTGAGCATTGATGCGTTTATCTAGAATCATCTGTGAAAGTCGTCTCTCGACTTCTTTTCTGGGAAGGCCAATACGATCCGCAATGTGACGAATCTAAAGGAAATAACACCAATGCATTTATATAAATTAACCTCTAAACAATATGAAAATTGCAAAATTTTGTACATAATTGTAAAAATATTTTCAAATGCAGTTAAATCTTGGAATAAAACAGCCAAGAAGTTAATTCCCAGCAATCTCACATAGACATGATGTTATGGGGCTATAGGACCCAACATGCATTTATGTAAGTAGCAGTTACTCATCTGGAATACCTGAATTATATTAAACTGCTGGGGGCACAACTGCCTTAATTCTGTCATGAGAGCAGATCATTCTTATGGAGAAAAGGCCAGTTGACTCAAGTGCTGTATTTCAACATAAATAGGTTCTACTATAAACACACAATTAAAGTAAGTAGATTATAAAGACAGTATTTCTTTTTAAAAGTAAAATAAGGTATAGTAATGGGAAAAACAAAATTATGGTAGTAGCTAAGAAACTGTGTATGTCAATGTTCTTTTGTTGTTGTGTGGAAGGTGGGAAGAGGCTGGATTGTTCTCTTTCTAGTTGTTGGTGGTTCTGAAGATGGCAGGACCCTCCCCCTCACTCTTAATTCTGGGCAAGATGTGAGTGGCTAGGAGGTAAAATTTGTACTTAACTATATTTGATGTTGTAACCCAGAGTGGCTACAGTGTGTCAAAACACTGCATTAAGGCCATCAGGGAGAAAAGAGAAGTAATTATTTCAAATGGGACCATGTGATTGTACTGGCTGGGCTCAGCCTAGGGTGTGCATCCTTTGTTATGAATAGGAAAGTGCTGAACTTGTATATTCTGTACATACATGTCTAGAATATATTGCTATTACTGTAAAAGTAGCTTAAATAACCTGTTGAGAGGGTTGGTGAACACATTCAAAGACTGAGGATGACTAATCATGAATGTAAATATTCCCCTAGACTTTATAAGGCCTTATTTAACCCTTTCAGGGTCAAGACCCCCGGTCTTGAACACGTTCTCAGGGCCGAAAAAAGAAAAATCTTATGAAATGATAGAGAATCTTTTCGCGATGGTAATGACACTAAAAGTATGAAATTTGATGGAAAACTTATGGAATTATGCTCTCACAAAGTTAGGGGTCTCAATGATATATACCCATAGGCGATTTCGCCTACTTTAAGCCCTATTTTTGGCCAATTCCAGCGTTCCAGTCAACTAAAATCATAATCATTTCGCTAGAACTCCATTTGTTCTATCAACTGAGTAAAGAAACCACCCATTTACTGATTTCAACTACCCAATAAGTGGTCAGAAATTGGCAATTTGGCCAATTCACACAAATTTCAAATGATGCCAATTTCAAAATAGGGTCCAGAATAAACAAGACAGATATTTCTGGCACTAAAATAATATTTTCTCTGTTCATTAGTCATGTCTCAAGGCCCCTCTTATATTACTCTTGCTTTCCATTTTGAATTTTTATTTTCACAAAAATTGAAGATTTACTGTTATGCAGACTACTGCATTATTATAAAAATGGTATAAATAATATCAGTGCACTTGTGAAAGAATATCAGACTCACCAGTTGATGTGTATTGGACGTGTGGCATGATTTGTTTACTCTTGAACATCGGCAAAAAATCAAACATTTCCGATATGTACTTTGAGCTCAATTTGAAGGTACTTTTCATTGTGAAACCAATCAAAATCATCTCCATTTCTGTAATATATCCATTCTGTAATATATTCCATTCTACCAAATGAGACCAAGAAAATGAGAATACAACCATAAATACCATATGAAAATACACTGCAAAGTCACTGTTTTAAACCAAAAACACAGTCTGGAGTTTTTTTTCTCGTTATGCACTGTGTATATTGTACACACTGACCACACAGACCCATTCTTTCATATGTAGGCCTACCAGCTTTCTCTCACTAGATTTGCAGGCGCTAGAATTTACGTGTACAAGTACAGCACCAACCCTTGCTCTCAAGCCGTACAAGTATGGCACCGACCCTAGGGCATGTAGTGAGAACCGTACCATTGAAGTAAAAAGGAACAACACTGTAACACACGGCCTATCACTTAACTCTGAATTTTTATAACAAAATGATGACAAACTGCTAGTCAAATTAAATGTAGTGCTGGTGGCTGTGGAGTCATTAAAAAATTAATATTTAAGTCTATACAAGGTCACTCATAGATTACTATGCCCTAGGTTTAGTTTGGCATAAAAGAATAGTAGTTTGTAGTTTTAAAAATATTAAAAAGCGAAGCCTAAAGAATTATTCTTTGCTATTTAGCAACCACTAAAATACTCTTATAATGAAAGAATGGGTATATCTAGTGTTTATGACAATACACAGTTTTGATAGAACAACCATCTACACAGTTATTAAGAGTATACTGTTTCAGAATTTTGAGAACACATCCGTCATGAAAAAATTAATCAGTGTGGATTCAACTAACACGCAAACGTTAAAATATTTGGATTGCACCAACAATACTGAACTAAGGTTTCAATATCTTAGGACACTATCAGGCAGCAAGATCTCCTGTTTTCTTTTAATGAGGTGTAAAACCTAGCTCTAGTAGACCAGTGGATACTTAACCAGTTAAGGATCATTTGACAAAGAAAGTAAGTCCAGAGGCAGTTATACTGTTTCTTGAAGAATAAAGCACCATTACTTGAAATAAGAAACATCAGCACTTCCAGCCATCCTGGGGATGTTATGGTTCTGTTGATATTTTTCACCTTATAACTCTCATTTTTCTTTAACAGAAAATCTCTCCATTGTTACAGCTCTGATCTCCTGTGTAATTTGTAAGTAATCTTTAATAGGAAACTTAGTGAACACTATTGTGGGTTGTATCCTGGATAAAGTAGTATACCTCAGATAAAGCAGGGTCTTGAAGTGAACAAAGGTAAATTAAAGTGTAAAAAAGAAAACTGAAAGTTTCATCCCCTTCTCTTTAACAATCTTCTCCAAAGTTTGTACAATAATGTTTATCAGTGAGAAATGTTTCAAGTGTAATAGGTCTTTCCTATAACTATTTATTGTTATCAAGACACTGTACCTCTCTGACTGGTATAACCAAGTTTTGAATGATGCTGTTCTGAATACAATGCCCCAGCACATACGGGCAACAGTATCATTGGACCATGGTCTACAAGGCTTATCTAAATCAGGAACACAAGAGTTACATAAAACAAATAGAGCTATAAAGTTTTAATAAACTGACCTGTAATCGTTCATAAGGTAAGATAATGTTAAGAAGGTTTTTCTCCATCATGGTGGTATACAAATCATCCAGAACACCGGCAACCACCATGTCCCCCGCCAGATGCTCACTGTACTGCTCACGGGTCTTTCTGTTCAAGAAGAGTTAAGAATTTAATGGGGATCCTGTTTTTCTGAAAATGTAAAATAGTTTCTGACACATTTCTTATAAAATGTAAATCTAAAGAAAATTTACAAGATACATCCCACTATATTACTGCAATAATTCCACTACACTGAACTTCTTCAGAGCCATTAGCTTTGTATCTGGGTGTTCACAGGTCTGCAAGCTATATTTTAAATTGTCATTCCTTGCTTAACCTACATAGGAACCAGACAAAACACACATTAAGTGAAAAATACTTTAGCCGAAACACATTTTCCCAAAACACCCATGTCATAATTTGTAATATGGATCAATACAATAATTTTTTTTCAACTAGTCAGCTGTCTCCTACCAAGGCAGGGTGACCCAAAAACAAAGAAAATCCCCAAAAAGAAAACTTTCATCATCATTCAACACTTTCACCTCACTCATACAAAATCACTGTTTTTGCAGGGGCAATAATATTCCCTATTTATTATTATTTTTAGTGGGTAGAATGAAATTCATAACCATGCATTGTACTCATGAGAGACCTGCTTCTTCTCGCATTCCCTCCACTTTTCACAGCTGAGAGGTGAGCCCATGTCAATAATTTCTGCTAGCAATTTCTTGTCCTTGGAATTACTACTGAAAACAATTATTAATTAGATTCATAACATGGCAACAGCTGCTACTGAAGCCATGGAACAGCAGAAATCTGAGGGGCAATTAGAAAAACCATTCATGGTGTGACTGTCACACACAGCTTCAACTCAAATGACTGAATATTTTCTGTTGTCCATTTCAGCCACTATATTAATATGGAACCTATATGATACTTAATAGCTTAGCACTAAGTTTTTTTTTTTAATATAACAAAACACTCCTACACATCCAGATTGTTTGTCCAACTTATTATGCTGAAGGCTGATGGGATGATAGAGCACAAAACTGCCAATAATATCTGCTGATAATTTCTCTTCCCCTAGGTAGTAGGCTGGTAGACAGCAACTGGCCGGGGAGGTACTACTATCCTGCCAAGTGAGTGTAAAGTGAAAACCTGTAATTGTTTTACATGATGGTAGGATTGCTGGAGTCTTTTTTTCTGTCTCATAAACATGCAAGATTTCAGGTATGGCTTGTTACTTCTACTTACACTTAGGTCACACCACACATGTATGTACAAGCATATATATACACATCCCTCTCTGTTGTCTTCTATTTTCTTATTAATTCTTGTTCTTATTTCCTCTTATTTCCATGGGGAAGTGGAACAGAATTCTTCCTCCGTTAGCCATGCATGTTGTACAAGTCTACTAAAATGCTGGGAGCAAGGGGCTAGTAACCCCTTCTCCTGTATACATTACTTAAGTTATGAAGAGAAACTTTTGTTTATCTTTATGGGCCACCATGCCTCAGTGGGAAATGGCCGATTTTTTAACCCTCTGACTGTCGCGGCCGTATATATACGTCTTGTGAGGTACCGTGTTTGACGTATATATACAGTGGACCCCCGGTTAATGGTATTTTTTCACTCCAGAAGTATGTTCAGGTGCCAGTACTGACCAAATTTGTTCCCATAAGGAATATTGTGAAGTAGATTAGTCCATTTCAGACCCCCAAACATACACGTACAAACGCACTTACATAAATACACTTACATAATTGGTCGCATTCGGAGGTGATCGTTATGCGGGGGTCCACTGTACTCATAAATTCTAGCGGCTTCAAATCAAGCAGGAGAAAGCTGGTAGGCCCACATGTGAGAGAATGGGTCTGTGTGGTCAGTGTGCACCATATAAAAAAAATCCTGGAGCACGCAGTGCATAATGAGAAAAAAAAAACTCCGACCGTTTTTTTAATTAAAATGCCGACTTTGTGGTCTATTTTTGTATAGTATTTATGGTTGTATTCTTGTTTTCTTGGTCTCATTTGATAGAATGGAAAACATATTATAGAAATAGAGGTGATTTTGATTGATTCTACTATAAAAAGAACCTGGAAATGGAGCTCAAAGTAGGGGAAATGTTTGATTTTTGCCAATGTTCAAAAGTAAACAAATGATGCCATTGTCCAATAAATGTCCAACTAGCCATTCTAATATGTAGTCATGAATGGGTTGATGTTATTTATACAATTATTACAGTATTGCAGTAGTCTGCATAATAGTAAGTCTTCTATTTTTTGTTTGAATAAAAATTCAAAATAGAAAGCAAGAGTAATATCAGAGGGGCCTGGAGACATGACTGTTGAGCAAAGAAAATGTTATTTTAGAGCCAGGAATGTCTGCATTGTTCATTCTGGACCTTATTTTGAAATTGTCATATTTTTTAGTTTTTGTGAAATTGGCCAAATTGCAAATTTCTGACCACATTATTAGGTAGCTGAAATCAGTAAATGGGCAGTTTCCTGTACTCAATCGATAGAAAAAATGGAGTTCTAAAGAAATAGCTATGAGTTTGGGCGACTGGAACAAGGGAATTAGCCGAAAATAGGGCTCAAAGTGGGCGAAATCGCCAATTTGTAAACCTCCGAGGTCGCTAACTTCGCGAGAGCATAATTCCGTCAGTTTTCCATCAATTTTTTTTTTTTTTTTGGTGTCATTACAATCGGGAAAAGATTCTCTATCATTTCATAAGAAAAAATATTTTTTTTTTTTTAAATTTTGCGACACCTGGAGACACCTCAGGATTGGGGGTTGCGACAGTCAAAGGGTTAAAAGAAGAAAGGATTGCTGTTGTCATTTTTGTCTCAAACATGCAAGGGGGTTTCAGGTACTTCTTGTTACTTCTACTTACACCTCTCTGGGTTTTCTTCTATTTTCTTGCTAGTTCTTGTTCTTGTTTATTTCCACTTATCTAAGTGTAACAGAATTCTTCCTCTGTAACCCATGCACGTCGTAAAAGGTGACTAATATGCCGGGAGCAAGGGTTAGTAACCTTTTTTCCTGTACACATTACTAAAGTTATGAAGAGAAACTTTTGTTTATCTTTTTGGGCCACCCTGTCTTGGTGGGATACGGCCAGTGCATTGAAAAGAATTTCTCTCCCCTTCATTTATTTAAATTATTATTATTAATGTTTTTGGGGAAGTGGTAAACCTATAAGGGGCCATACTGTACTTGGGAAAAAGGAGGATATCTTGTTTGATTTACAGTACTCTTTAAAGATGGTGGTTGTAGATGACTATGTAGTAATAGCAACTACCCAAGGCAGGAGACATAAAAATCAAAGTTTTGGAGGCAATGCTCATTTGAACACTACCTTCATGCCTCCGGCTTCCTCCTAGTGAAAATACAAGACAGGTAATTCCATTTTCTTAATGCTACTATTGTTTAAAAGCTTTTTTTGTGACAATCAAACACACAATTTAAGAGTTTAGTGTTATTTTGTGAATAAAATAATAAAGCACACAGCTAAACATTTTTTTAACGGTCTGTCCTACTTTTATTTGCTATGACAAACTGATCAAGGGATTTAGCAAGCCAGTGGTGTGGAATGAACAACCCCCCTTCCCTTCTCCCATCTTCACTCCCTCACAATTATTTTTCTGACTTTTCACTTTATCAGATACATTTACTGTGATACTGTACTTTATATAAAGAGAGATAAAATGCAAACATGAACATTTTACTGGAAATGTTTCATTCCTGAGGACTTGGTCACTCCAAATGCAAGTTTTTTTTTATTTTCCAGCAACCTGTTGGTATCACATAAAATTTTTTCCATACTGTATATGCTTATTTGGTACAAGTTTAGTGGGTTTCTTTATGCATGGTCAGAGTGGATTTTGATATGAATGATTAGGGGGAAATTTTCACAATTATTTTCAATTTAACACTATTTTCTTTGATTGTTTTGGGATAAAATATACTGCTGTATGGTATAACAAATATTACTAGATATAACACATACCTGAAATCTGCAAGAGAAGATTTGTTAGCTGCAGCTGTGATAGCCAGCATGGCCTCCACTCCCTCATCAATGTCTTGAATATGACTCTGACTTCTCACAGCTTTTTCACCCTCCTCAGCCCTTATGAAGATAGATAAAAGCAAAATGATACAAATCACTGATTAACAATGAGGATATCAAGTGAGAACAGCAAGAGTTCTGTGGTGAACAAAGAGGATTCTATGGTAGTTGGATACAAGTCTTGCTCAGTGAATTTCACCACCAAACTGACAATTCACTCACTCTTTGACCTTAATAAAAGCCTTGATTCTCTCTATACATGAAATGAATCTTTGAGTTAATGAGTCAAGGTTGTTAACAAAGCCAGGTTCTTGATGGTTCCAATCAACTAATACAAGCACAGATCTTAGGATAGCAGTAACTTCCAAGCCATGTCTGAGATATGAAGAATGTGAGCTAGACCATTACTGTAGGAATGAAGAACAAGAGAGGATATGGTCACATGTAATATACACCGGTGAAAGATCACAACCAAGCTGGATTAGCAACCGAACACTGCTATTGCAGACAAGAATACAGTAAACCCTTGATATAATGAACTAATTGGGGACTGTCCAAGTGTCCATTAAATCAGAATGTTGAAACAGCAAAACAAAGTATGTACCCTCGTTTTCGTAATTAATCCGTCCCAGAAAGTGTGACTATTTTAGAAATTGAAGATTTTCAAAACCATTTTCCCCATAAGAAATAATGTAAATACAATTAATCCAGTCCAGACACCCAGAAGTATTAAAACAAATATTTTTTTTACATCAAATATAGATGTGGTACATGCACAATACAATGGGACATGATGAATGAAACATTAACAGCATAATACTTACCTTTATTGGGGATTCTTCTTTGTGTATGAAAGACTAGAGGAGGAGAGAGATTGGATTAGTTACTGTTTGGAAGGGGAATCCCCTTCCATCAACACCTCAGGTACCAAGTCCTTTTCTGGGGTCACTTCTCTTCTCTGTTTCTTAATGCCACTAGGACCAGCTTGAGAGTCACTGGAGCCTTGTATCGCAAAAAAAAGTGTCCAGAGTGCTCTGTTTCTGGCGTCTCTTTGCAACTTCTCTAAAATGAGCCAAGACTTCGTCACTGTACATGTTGCCAACATGGCTTGCAACAGCCTTGTCAGGGTGATGTTTCTCTATAAATCTTTCCATTTTACTCCACATTTCAAAAACCTCCTTAATTTCTGAAGAAGGCAACTTCTTCCATCTCTCTTTCTCCTCCTCTGCAGCAATATTCTGAGCTGCAATCTGTTGCTGTTCCAGATGAAGCTCTTGCAGCTCCTCAGTGGTTAGCTCTTCGTTGTGGTCCTCCACCAACTCTTCCACATCCTCCAAACTCACATCCAACCCTATGGAACACCCCAATGTCACAACAGATTCCACAACTGCCGTAGGCTCGTCAGGGTCAGCCCCAAACCCTTCAAAATCCCTCTTGTGGACACAATCTGGCCACAATTTTTTCCAAGCAGAGTTCTAAGTCCTGGTAGTCACTCCCTTCCAAGCCTTACCTATAAGGCTTATGCAATGGAGGATACTGAAGTGATCTCTCCAAAACTCTCTTAGGGTCAAGTGAGTGTCTGAGGTCACATTAAAGCACCTTCAAAACATTGCTTTGGTGTAGTTTTTTTTTAAAGTTTCAAATGATCTGCTGGTCCATGGGCTGGAGGGGAGTGGTATTCGGGGGCAAGAACTTTACTGTGATGAACCCATACTCCTCCAGAATTAGGTCATCCAAGTTTGGAGGATGAGCAGGTGCACTGTCCATTAGCAGGAGGCACTTGAGATCAAATTTATTTTTCAGGAGATAATTCATCACACTGGGGCCAAACACTTCATTGAACCACTCAACGAAAATTTCCCTCGTAACCCATGCCTTATTATTAGCTTTCGAAAACACACACAATTTACTCTTCATAACATTGTTTTTCTTGAACGCTCTGGGATTTTCAGAATGGTACATAAGTAACGGCTTCACTTTGAAATCCCTTCTAGCATTACTAAAAAACATGAGTGTCAGCCTGTCTTTCATAGGCTTGTGTCCTGGCAGTCCCTTTTCCTCCTGAGTAATGTAGGTCCTCTTTGGCATTTTCTTCCAAAAGAGGCCTGTTTCGTCACAAGTGAATACTTGTTGTGGTTTTAATTGTTCAGTCTGTACGTACTCCTTGAATTCACTTACGAATGTTGTAGCTGCAATTTTGTCCGAACCGGCAGCCTCACCATGCCTTATCACACTGTGTATGCACTACGATTCTTAAATGTCTCAAACCAGCCTTTGCTGGCCTTAAATTCACAAATATCAGTACTCGTTGCAGGCAATTTCTTTACGAGAATGTCATGCAACTGCCTAGCCTTTTCACAAATGAGCGACTGCACAAGACTATCTCCTGCTAATTGTTTCTCACTGATCCACACAAACAATAACTTCTCAACATCTTCGAGTACTGGCGATCTCATTTTTTGTCAGCATATTTACCCCCTTCTAGGTAGTAGGTTGGTAGACAGCAACTGCCCAGGGTGTACCGTCCGGCCAAGTGAGTGTAAAACAAAAGTCTGTAATTGTTTTACATGATGGTAGGATTGATGGTGTCTTTTGTCTGTCTCATAAACATGCAAGATTTCAGGTATGTCTTGCTACTTCTACTTACACTTAGGTCACAGTGCACATACATGTACAAGCATATATATACACATCCCTCTGGGTTTTCTATTTTCTTTCTAGTTCTTGTTCTTGTTTATTTCCTCTTATCTCCATGGGGAAGTGGAACAGAATTCTTCCTCCATAAGCCATGCGTGTTGTAAGAGGCGACTAAAATGCCAGGAGCAAGGGGCTAGTAACCTCTTCTCCTGTATATATTACTAAATGTAAAAGGAGAAACTTTCGTTTTTCCTTTTGGGCCACCCCGCCTCGGTGGGATATGGCCGGTGTGTTGAAAGAAAGAAAGGTTTACCCCCTTTGCAACAACAGCTTCCTTGATTTCCTTTTTCTTGGCCACGATAGAAGCTATGGTTGTACAGTGGGCCCCCCGGTATTCGATGTCATCGGTATTCGATAAATCCGGTTTTCGATGCATTTTAACGCAAAAAATTTTCCTCGGCACTCGATTGAAAACCCGGTATTCGATACGATTCGTACGAGACCTGTCCACGTTTAGCCTGAACTGCCCCGTGTGTGCTAGTGTTTACAAGCCAGCCAGTGTGCGTGCATCTAAGGATACATTTGGTACATTCCATATTATCCATATTATCACTGTGTTTGGTGCTTGTTTCTGCAAAATAAGTCACCATGGGCCCCAAGAAATCTTCTAGTGCCAACCCTTTGAGAAAAAAGTCGCTAATGAGTTAGGAAATGAAGAAAGAAATAATTGCAAAGTACGAAAGTGGAGTGCGTGTGTTGGAGCTGGTCAGGTTGTATAATAAACTCCAATCAACCATCTCTACTATAGTGACCAGGAAAACGGCAATCAAGGAAGCTGTTCTTGCAAAAGGTGCAAATGTGATTACGAAACAGCGACCGCAAGTGTTAGAAAATGTTGAGAGATTGTTATTGGTGTGGATAAATGAAAAACAGATAGCAGGAGATAGCATCTCTCAAGCGATCATTTGTGAAAAGGCTAGGCAGTTGCATGACAATTTGGTAAAGAAATAGCCTGCAACTAGTGGTGATGTGATTGAATTTAAAGCCAGCAAAGGTTGGTTTGAAAGATTTAAGAATCGTAGTGGCATACATAGTGTGATTAGGCATGGTGAGGCTGCCAGTTACGTTGTGCGACAGAAGTCCAGTGACTCTCAAGCTGGTCCTAGTGGCATTAAAAGAAGGGAAGTAACCCCAGAAAAGGACTTGCTACCTCAAGTCCTAATGGAAGGGGATTCCCCTTCTAAACACTAACACCATCCACACTCTCCCCTCCTCCCATCCCATCAATCATCACCAGATCTTCATTAAAGGTAAGTGTCAATTATTTTATTGTTATTGTAATTATTCTATTGCATTAAACTTAATATTTTCTGTAGTAAAAAAATTTTTTTTTCATACTTTTGGGTGTCTTGCACAGATTAATTTGATTTCCATTATTTCTTATAAGGAAAATTGATTCGGTTTTCGATATTATCGGTATTCGATGAGCTCTCAGGAACGGATTAATATCGAATACCGGGGGTCCACTGTATGGGGTTTCTTATACATCCTGGCCAGTTTGGCCACACGTACACCACTTTCATATTGTTCAATGATGTTTTTCTTGAATTCAATTGTTTTTCTAACCTTCTCTACCAAAGGAATGGCACTAGGAGCTTTCTTTGGAGCCATGGTAGCTTATTTAGCAGTTGCAAGCACTAAAACGAATGGAATATTATGAAATATTTCGTATGAACGAGTGAGGGGACCATCACTCACTGGTAAACAATGGCACACTGGCTGGGAAAAGTGTGTGAGGCGGCTAGGGGCTGTGAGTACGCATCCTGGATGAACAACTATTTGCGAGTCAAACGACAATTCGCAAGTCAGTGTTTTGACAAAAATAAGTTACGATTTCCAAGCCTTACGAAAAATGACGGTCTACTGTATTTAACTATAGTGATACCTAAAATAGTGTTGAACACACAATTCATAATTATAGTAAACTGTCAGATATAACGTGATGTGTTAACATGTTTTGCAAAAATTGCAGTATATTTTCAATGTATATATGCTACCCTACTTACGAACATTCAAGTTACAAACATTCGGACATACGAACAGACTGCCGTGTTAAAGTTTCATTCACAATACTCCTGCAAATCCAAATTTTGAGTTGTGCACCTCCTGTGTAGTATGTTTTGCCGCAACCCATGCCGGGCAGCACTGAAGTCAATAGTTTGGTAACAAGCTCGTCAGTGGTAATACGCGTACACTTGTGCTGTTCTTTGTGTTTTTTGTGATAAAATTAGCCCAACCATCATGGCTAATGGTAAGCATAAGGCAAGTGATGATGGTGGCAATACTAAGAAGCGGCAAGCAATCTCAATGGAAACAAAGGTTGCCATAATCAGAAAATTAGATCGTGGTGAAAAGATGGCATGAACGTGGCATGTTCGTACAACACGAATCGGTCAACAACTGGTACAATTTACAAGAACAAGGACCAGATTATGGAACATGTTAAGAGTTCTGTGCCTATGCAGTTGACGATTATTAGCAAA